TTGATGCAGGATTGCGCATGCGCCGTGAGCGGTTCTGATACTTTTTGGGTCGCAGCTGCTTGCAGTGCAGCTTCAACAGTGCGATACCCTCACGAGGGACGAGCGAAATTTTAAACACGCCAGAAGTTCGTGCGACCTCACGACTGCTGATCGGCAGCTGGTCACGTGGTGTTAATCGCCTCTCGTAACCCCCTGTACACTACACGACCGCTCGGCGCAAAACTCGCCCCGATGTCGTGGATTCTCGCACGACTGGAAAATCGGCTCAAAAAAGTGAAAAAGTCGCACAGTGTACGCCCGGCTTTAGCAGAAAAACAGCCCCAAAGCATGATATTCCCACCCCCATGCTTCACAGTAGGTATGGTGTTCTTGGGATGCAACTCAGTATTCTTCTCCCTCCAAACACGACGAGTTGAGTTTATACCAAAAAGTTCTACTTTGGTTTCATCTGACCACATGACATTCTCCCAATCCTCTGCTGTATCATCCATGTGCTCTCTGGCAAACTTCAGACGGGCCTGGACATGCACTGGCTTCGGCAGCGGAACACGTCTGGCACTGCAGGATTTGATTCCCTGCCGTTGTAGTGTGTTACTGATGGTGACCTTTGTTACTGTGGTCCCAGCTCTCTGCAGGTCATTCACCAGGCCCCCCCGTGTGGTTCTGGGATTCTTGCTCACCGTTCTCATGATCATTTTGACCCCACGGGGTGAGATCTTGCGTGGAGCCCCAGATCGAGGGAGATTATCAGTGGTCTTGTATTGGGCCATTCCCATCTGTACCGGGTCGGCCTGGGCCGGGTAGCCCCAGTCGGCCCCAGCCTGGCCCGGTTGATTCCACACATCCTTGCCTTAAGCCCATGTGGGCTGATTCTACCCACCAATCAGAGGCTTGCTCTAATGGAAGGTGTGAATTTGCTGTCAGCAGTGGGTGTGTTGGCCCTGGTCGGCCTGAAGCAGACCCCCTCGAGAAGAGGGCTGAGAATGAGCCTTGGTTGGCCCGGAACAATACCAGGCCACCCAGATATGTAAACAACCTACGCTACCCGGCCCGGGCCGACCCGGTACAGGTGGGAATGGCCCATATGTCTTCCATTTTCTGATAATTGCTCCCACAGTTGATTTTTTCACACCAAGCTGCTTGCCTATTGTAGATTCACTCTTCCCAGTCTGGTGCAGGTCTACAATTCTTTTCCTGGTGTCCTTTGAAAGCTCTTTGGTCTTGGCCATAGTGGAGTTTGGAGTCTGACTGTTTATGGCTGTGGAAAGGTGTCTTTTATACAGATAATGTGTTCAAACAGGTGCCATTAATACAGGTAACGAGTGGAGGACAGAAAAGCTTCTTAAAGAAGACGTTACAGGTCTGTGAGAGCCAGAGATTTTCCTTGTTTGAAGTGACCAAATACTTATTTTCAACCCTGATTTACAAATAAATTATTTAAAAATCCTGCCATGTGAATTCATGGATTTTTTTCACATTATGTCTCTCACAGTTGAAGTGTACCTATGATGTAAATTACTGACCTCTGTCATCATTTTAAGTGGGAGAACTTGCACAATCGGTGGCTGACTAAATACTTTTTTGCCCCACTGTAACTGCTTAGATCATAAAAGGGATTGTCGCCGTACCCCATGTCCACACCTGGTTTAAACCATAGGAGCGGTGTCATAACAGAACACAAAAAGAGAACTGATCTTAATATTCAAGAATAATCCCAATCTCATGTTTAATATGGTGCAGCTCTAGTCTGAGAAAAATGTATCTGATGTCTTAATAATGCATTTAATGCGTTCTGATCATTTTACTTTCTTAAATTAAAAGAAAAGAAATTTTCATCTGTATGTGATCACAGAACAAATTAAAGGACTACGGATTAAACAGGAAGTGACATTTTGTAGATTAAAGACGGTACTGTTCTGTATCACCCCCCAACTGTTTTATTTTAAGATGGGAGTTTTTGTTTCTATTCTTTTTCATGAGTCCATCATTAATTGAAGCTATGTTTAACAAAATAAGCACGAGTAAAACCTTGTAAACTGGTTGTGAAACTCTAAAATTAAAAAAAAAATTGACACTTTTCCGTCAGAATACTGTAAATGTAGCACTTTCTCTCAAGTAGTCCTAAAACACAAATGATCATACAAAACATTGACTATTAGTCTGAAACTCAAAAGTTTGTCTCTGAACGCACCATCACATCAGCTTACATCAACAATAACAGATCGGTCGTTAGAATCTTTACTTCCAGATTCAAGGTTTTCAAGTTAATCAAGAAACAAATATTTTGTGTTATTCAAGGTCAACTTTACTCATATTTTAATACATTAGCAATGGTCTCTAATAGGAATGAATGCCTTGTAAGTCACTCTCTGGGGGGGGGGGGGGTGGCTCCAGTGCCCCTGTTTGAGGATGTAGAAGTCAGCTGAAGGAGAAAGAAGTTTCAGACGACAGGCTTTGGACTCTTATCTTGTCTCGGATTGGCTAACGACAACTTGACTCCACCATCGCCTCCGTTAGCTCTGCAGTTTAAATGTTTTATCTCCACAAATAACACAAGCCTGGAGGAGTACTGCCAGGTTGTGGAGTTGCTAATGCTAAAGGTTAGTTTTCCACTAGCCAAAACGTTCTCTAAACCAGTGACGCTAAACCAACAACAGCCTTATCCATCATGAGCAAAGATGGGTGAGTCCAAAAACCCGAACCAGTTTGTTTCTAAATGGCTCCAGAATCCTCTGAATGAGATGAAACCAGATGTCCCAAACTCAAACATTAAAGGGACAGTTTGTTACTTTTCTTGAGCCAGTATGTGCTATAGTAACCCTTTACAGGGTTGGCCTCCTGTGGCCAGAATATCACACTTGCAACTTCACAGTTGCCGGCTGCTGTCTGGCTTCAGCACGTTTCCTGCATGCTTTAGCTCATGAACCCTGCTGATCTGTTTAAATTAGTGATGAATCATTCCTCTAGACACCCAGGAACGCTGGGAGATGTTTCGACTGGTAGATTAAGGTGTTAAAAAGACGAACGCAAGGAGAGGAGATAGTTTTGCTTCTACAAACGGGCACTGGGGGTGCTAAAAGCAAGCAAAACTGCTTACTATCCCTTTAATATTAAACTTCTTCAGAAAAATATCCACAGCATTGTGGATTTTAAGAATAGTGTTAAAATAAGACTACAAACGCATGATAAATACACAGCTGGGGTTGATTTTAATGATCAGACCTATTTATTGGGTCATTTTCTGCTTGATATTCCATAATCAAAGACTGTTTTTAAAGGCTGACACCAACTCGTCAAGGTTGCTCAGTAATATCACAAATTTATTCACTGTGCACAATCTGAATACTGCAAAGAGCTAGTAGGTGGTAATAGATCACAGGTGTTTTGCTTCCTTTAAAATACTTTTAAAGGCAATCTAATGGACTCCATCTAGCAGCTCAGTTTAGATTATGCCATACCATACCATACCATTTTATTTATAAAGCGCATTCAACATGGCATTACAACCAGACAAGGCGCTGTACATTAAAAGATTACAGTTAAATTAACACGTTCAGAATGACATTTAAAGCATAGTTTATAAGAAAAAATGAAAACAAGAAAATACTCGAACTAACAGTCGTAAAACACTAAAAACGCAAAGGAATGTGAAACAACAGATAAAAACATATGAAAGAACCACAGTAATACAGATGTTAATTATTGTGCATTCTATTGTAGAAAGAATGCAGATGTCGAAAGTGGTCCATGATTATGTATTATATGCAAGGTTGAAGTAGTGAGTTTTCATGCGAGATTTAAAAATGCTAATTGTTGGTGCTTGCCTCACTAGTAGTGGTAATGCATTCCACAGCTTGGGAGCACAGACAGAGAAAGCCACTCTACCACTAGGGCACTAAGCTGGATGTGGTGGGGGATTCACATCCCTAGGTCTCAGGTCTGTTTTGTGGAGTTGGGGAACTTCTGCACAGCTTCCGAGCAGCCAATCAGCAGCTGTGCTTAATTATGAGGTCTTTTATTTATTTATTTATTTTTTTTACAAATGACACACTAAAATAGATGGTTGAAGTGCTGAAGTATAATGTGTTGTGTGGCACTATCACAGATTTCCAAAATATTGCACATGGTTGTTTTATTATTACAGACCTGAAACTCATCCCGTAAACTCACTGAACACAAGAAAAGCACTGAATTAAACTCACCGCTGACATCATCATGCTCTAACCTTCAAGTGACCAAGCAGCTCCACCAGGGTCAACAGTAGAACAACTCTCGGTATTCTCAAATTCAAAGGTCAAGTTCTAGAATCTATCAACGCACTAAAGAGGACAGGGGCTCATCACAGCTAAATAATCCTTCTGATTATAACGCTACAATCTCAGTTTTCTGTCAAGAGTTCTTAGTCTCAAACTGTGAAAGGATCAATAATCAAACAGCAAGGAAGTGGACTTAAGTCCAGTTTGACTACAAACACTAACCTCTGTTTTAACTACAATCCATAGCTACTAGTTAATGTTTCTCTCATAACAAAACTCAGACTGGGTCTTTAATCCAACAAATTTGGGGATGATCTTAATTTCAAACACTCAAAGGGAGGTTTAGGTCAGATGTAGGGTAAGAACTGCATGTGTGAAGCTAACCAGCCCACAAACAAATAATCAGTAAAGATTCCATCTTCAAACACCCCCTCCTTTAAAGGGTGGGCTTTGGTAAAATAACATGTTACAATAACCTTGTAGCTATGGGATCATGGAACTGTTGGTTAATCCTTGGATTTGGGACAAGCCTTAATCTGCCTCCTCCCTGCTCTCCACATGGATCAGCTACTGGGAAACAATGCGCAACTAGAAGTGGCCCTAGCTCTGTTTATGTCCCACAGACTGATGGAGAGGTGCCCTGATGGGCCCAGTGAGCTGAACCCAGATGAGGATCAGGTGTGTGTGTGTGTGTGTGTGTGTGTGTGTGTGTGTGTGTGTGTGTGTGTGTGTGTTGTAACTTACTGGTTTTTTACGCATCTGGTCTCAAGAAACGCTTTGTCCAGCTGGATCACAGCCTGTCCCAGAAACACGTCCAGCCCCATCAGAGCCCGGTGCATCACGGTCAGGACTAGCTCGTTGCTCCCGGCCGGGTACCCGCTCCGCTCCCTGCTCTCCAGCACGCCAGGCTGCAGCTCGAACGAGCACTCTTCGTGCCACTCCGGCTCGGTGGTCTTCTCCGCCACCCCGGTAGAGTACTTCTCCTTCCCCAGCTGGATGATGGTGTACACGTCGCTGGTGCCGTGCTTGCCCTTGCCCCGTAAGCTCCTGCCTCTCTGCACCGTCACCTGGACGTGTGTCGGTGCCCACCTCTGGTCCTCCTCCACGGTTAGCGAGGACATATCCCCCTGACTCAGACAAAGCGGCCGAGCCGCCGCGCTCACCGGCTGGGTAGAAGTGGAAGCTTCCGCCGCTTCCACCCTGCTGCTGGTGCTCCGTCACATCAGCTCCGGGCTCAGCGGGCGGTGCCGCATTACTGTGGCCGCGTGTTGTCTTCCTGAAGCTGCCGTTGTTGTGAGCCTCGGCTGCTTCCTCCTCCGTGCGCTCTGCGGCAGCATGCAGGCAGCGTCCGTCCGCTCGGCCTGTCTGCGAAGGGCGACGTCACGCCTCCTCCTCCATCCTCCTCCTGCAGGACGAGGAAGTTCACCAGCACACCCCTGCGAGTGCACGGAGCACAGAAACACGGTGTTCCTGAGCGCAGGGTGTGAAGTCTCCCCTCGGCGTGGTTCCGGGAAAAGAGATTCAGATGAGCGCTGGCCTGCCTCCTTTCATTCTGCGCTACAACAGGACGGGCTCGTCTAATAGAAACGCGTCCAACGTAGCTGTAATAAGTTTTTATATTTTATGCTTAATTATAGAATGACTTACAAAACACATTTAAATTCTTGAAACCATCTATTTTAGTGTGTCATTTGTAAAAAAAATAAATAAATAAATAAATAAAAGACCTCATAATTAAGCACAGCTGCTGATTGGCTGCTCGGAAGCTGTGCAGAAGTTCCCCAACTCCACAAAACAGACCTGAGACCTAGGGATGTGAATCCCCCACCACATCCAGCTTAGTGCCCTAGTGGTAGAGTGTCCGCCCTGAGACTATGAGATCAGGGGTTCGAATCCTAGTCGGGTCATACCAAAGACTTTGAATAAATGGGACCCAATGCCTCCCTGCTTGACACTCAGCACCAAAGGGTTGGATTGGGGGTTTAAAACCACCAAATGGTTCCCGAGCGCGGCTGTGTCTGCAGTGTCTGCACCGCTCCCCCAGGGGATGGGTCAAATGCGGAGAACAAATTTTGCACACACCTGTGTGTGTGTGTGACAACTAATGGGACCTTAACTTTAACTGAGGCCGATTTGATTTGCACCTGGTACCTACCGGCAATATGATGCCATACCTGAAGCAACCCTCCACTGACAAGGCCGGATTAACCATATGGGCAACTGGTCAATTGCCCAGGGCCCACAAACTCTAAGGGCCCAGGGCAGCAAGGGCACGAGCAAAATACAGGCCTATCTGTAATCTCCTGCTTTATATTAAACTAGGGTGACCGTGCATCCGGTTTTCCCCGGCCATGTCCACTTTTCACTCTCTGTCCGGGGCGTCCGGACTGGAGGTTCTTGTATTGATGAAAATGTCCGGCTTTTAATCCAGGTTGTCGCTTGACCACCATGTCGTTGTGAAAGGGGGGATTGTAACGTGAGGAAGTATGAGTTTTCTGTGCCAAAGGTCGTATTTGCCCGGCTGGGTCAAAGCTGGGTCACGCAGCAACTTTCACCCACAGATTAAGACCTGAGCCGACAGCAAGTCTGAAGAATTCCACAACAATCCAACACCTGCCACTTCAGAAGAAGGACTTCACTAGTCATAATAAAACAGAGTCTTAAACTTCCTTTTCTTTATTTTAAACGTTAAATAATCATTTGATCATTTTGCTCATTATAAATGTATTTTAATCAAATGAATGATTATTATGCTTTGGGTAATCATCAGAATACTTAATTAAATAATGTTTTTGAAGATGTTTAGCATGACCTCACACACTCTCACACACAGGTCTGGATTCACAGTAACTCCAAAACACATTTGCTCTGACGCACAAGTTTGCTTTGGGAAGAGAAGTGGTTTTTGGTAAGTTAGTCAGAACGAGATTGAGAACGAAAGAGAGAGGACGTGCGGAACAAACGCCAATGGGGAAAGGAGCCCTGCCGGCTCTTTTCTCCCCCCCACGCTATTTCTGTCAAGCCAGACAGAATAGCTGAAATGCAACCAGTTTACGCAGACTCGTCCCAGAGTCTTTGATTTCTGAGTTAATTTAAACTTGAGAAAGCGCATCTGCTAAACGCTTCATCAACGTGTACCGAGGTCAACTCTGGACTGGACCGTCAGCACACCTTCGTCTTCTCTGCCAGCCAAGGTGTGACCTGGATAAACATCCTCCGAGGTCCGGATCTGAAAGAGGGTCCTGAGTACGGTGAGGCAGAACACAATAGATGATGCAGTTTTTCTAATAAGAACTAATCCAAATTATGGGGGAGCTGTATATCCTACACATCCAGGGGAGCCGGAAAAATTTTTTCTACCTATATTACATCATTTATGGACTCTTCTGAGCAGAGAGCGGCACAGCGCTGCATTGTTGCGCAGCGATCCAGGCAGCTGCTTCCAGCGCACGGTCCATTCTCAAAGTGGCGCAGCCAAAAAACTATAAGTAGCACACGATCGTTCATGTCCGTACATGTTCTCTATTTTCTGTCTTATTTGCGCCTGAAGCGCTCTGCCACTGCTCATCACCTGTGCTGCGGTGATTTCACCTCACTGACGCAGCATCGAAACGCGCTCTCCGCTTTACGGTCAGGAGATCCCTTTGGTCTGCTCACAAGTTACTGATGAGGTGAAAAAGTAAGAACCCAGGCAGCAGTTTTTCTGGAGAGCTTATAGGAGATGCAGGAAGATGAGAGTCAGACAGGACAGGAAATAGTTAAATAAAAACAAAACAAAAAGTGTTGAAAAGTAAAATGTAGGTAGATTTATCTCCACTACACGTTTTTACCTGTATAAAACAATAAGTTATACACATGGCATATTTATACATCTGATACAATTCAGATCACCTTCAAAACTCAGTCACACACCCAGGGCCGTTTCAAGACATTTTGGGGGCCAAGGCAAAATGACCCCACCCACCCCCACCCCCCATAACTGGGCTCCCCAGAAGCCTCTGTGTAATTCATACCCTCTCCAGTAGTGTTAGTTATACAGTGTTTATAAAAGCTCCTCAGACATCACTGACATGTTCTAATATTATCAGATGAAAAACTAAATTATCAGACATGCTGTCTCATCTGCTGCTTTTGTAAACTTGCAAAAAGTAACAAAACCACTTGAAAGCCACTATTTGTGGATTCTCTGAAAGTTTCCAGTGTGACAACTTATTTTTTCATTGATCCTATCGTCTAATCTCACAGCTGAAACAAGCATCCTTAATAATCTGTGCACAGGAAGCTTACCGGTGCTGTAGTAAAACTAGAGGTATAATAATTTATTATTAATAAAACCTTGTTGCAGCACTAAAGCAGAAAAATGAGATTTTGCAATAAATATGCTAAATATTCACATATGAATTGTTTTAGAGCCCTTTTATTGGCAGAATCTGATATTAATTTATTTCTTACAAAAAAATGGGTCCCAACGTGGTTTGTGTGGCATTGCCATAGTGTGACGTCATAGGCACAGATCCCCTGTCCTCTTGTTTGGAAATGGAAATATGATCACCCTGTATTAAACAAACTGTCCACCCGGGCTTTTGCGCTGCACAGAGACGCTTCGCTGCCTATGACTGAACGTCAGTTGAGAGTCAGTCTCGTGCAGACTGACCAATGAAGAGAGGGCCTCAAGTTAAGGCCCTCTCCTCGTTGGTCAGTCCACACGAGGTGGGTCAAAGGTTACCCTGTGCGGGTTACGCGATGTCAGGCATTCAAGTATTGAGTATATTTACTGCATATTACAGTAAAATATATTGTATGTGACCACATTATGATGATCCTTGGGTCGTGATGATGGGGCCCTTGAATATTGTTGCCCAGGGTACAACAAAGTGTTAATCTGGCCCTGTCCACTGATACAATTCGATATGATTGATCTCTGCTGACAATTCATGGTTTGACTACAATTTTCAGTTCAATATAATTTACGTCTCTCTCTCTCTCTCTCTCTCTCTCTCTCTCTCTCTCTCTCTCTCTCTCTCTCTCTCTCTCTCTCTCTCTCTCTCTCTCTCTCTCTCTCTCTCTCTCTCTCTCTCTCTCTCTCTCTCTCTCTCTCTCTCTCTCTCTCTGTGTGTGTGTGTGTGTGTGTGTGAATGAATGAAGTATTTGATCCACTATTGTTTTTGATCAATCAATAAGTTCTACAAGAAAATGCACTTCATCATTGTTTGGGAAATTTTTGATGTTTACACATTACACATATTTTATTGCTACAACACCCTGTTGGAATAATTTGAAAAAAGAACCATCAAACCATCAATGTGACCATAACATTAGTCACTCTGCTCAAAATGTAACCAACAGAATCCAAATATTATTAGAGTTCACCGTACAATCATTAGGAATTATTATGAAACACTGTAAACATCAGAAAACCTCTGAAAATATTTCTAAATAGTGTAATAATCCATATGGGGTGATTGTAAGAGCTGCTGTAGCTTAATGTTACTGCTCCTTTAAGAGGAAAGTGAAATAATGCTGGAGATGCAGATGCACTTCATCTCAGCTTTTTGTTGGACTGATCTGATAAACCAGTGTTAAGTGCAAAACATCATTCTGTCTGGTGTTTTTAGTTCTGCACAAATGTTACCGTAATAAGGAATAATCTTAAATTACCTTGCTTACAGCTTCTGGTGAGTTCAAATGCTTAGAAGAATGCAGTACTGCTGCAGAGTATGCAGTTTGTGGTTTTCATGAAGTTTAATTTATTTTGGCAAGTTATGAGAGGAAACATGTGAGTTAGTATGTCCAATGATAGTTTGAATTTTCTAACTGCGTCTGCACGCCACCTGGCTCCAGTTCCAATTGACTCCCATTTAAAAAATGCCAACTTCACAGCAGAAATAAGCATGTTTGCATCCATCCATTTTCAATCGCTTATCCAAGGTCAGGTCGCGGGGACAGCAGCCTAAGCAGGAAGGCCCAGACTTCCCTTGCCCCAGCCACTTGGGCCAGCTCCTCTAGGGAAATCCTAAAGCGTTCCCTGGCCAGCCAAGAGACATAGTTCCTCCAGCGTGTCCTGGATCTTTTGGCTCAGCTCTCTCTTCGCCATGACAGATCGGTACAACACCCCGCATACCTGCAGAGACAGCACCAATCTGCCTCTGGATCTTGCGTTCCAGCTTTCCCTCACTCGTGAACAAGACCCCGAGATACATAAACTCCTCCACTTGGGACAGCACCTCATTCCTGACCTGGAGAAAGCATTCTACCCCTTTTCCAACTCAAGACCATGGTCTCAGATTTAGAGGAGCGGATTCTGATCACAGCTGCTTCGCATTCTGCTGCGAACTGCTCCAGTGAGAGACTGAGATCACATTCTGATAAAACCAACAGGACCACATAATCTGCAAAAAAGCAGACTCAATCCTTAGGCCACCAAAGAAGATGTAGCTGGAACATACCCTGTGGTCCCCCTTTTTAAATAGGAGGACCACCACCCCGGCCTGCCAATCCAGTCGAACTGCCCCCGATATCCACACAATAATACAGAGCCAGCCAACACAAT